ACACCATAAGTCCCTATGCCGCCCATGTGAGTGTCTCATGAACACCCCACACATGTGCCATGCATGTGGATGAAATGGGCGCTAAAATGAAGAGGCTTCTAACCATTCGACCAAAGCATCATCTTGTTTCAAATTGGCGCCAAGATGAAGAGACAAGGGAACCATTCGACCAAAGACATGTCCCCTCATCCAAGCATCATTTATTTTCATTTTAAGACATGTACTTTGCCGAAAAGGCATATATCTATTCGGCCAAGCCTTTACAAATCTATTAAATAGGCTTTGGCATTCATTTGTAAACAAAACCCTTTTTGATAAATTAAACTCTTGTGAGATTATTCTCTCTTCAAGTTCTTTTTAGAACTATATCGATTAAGCAAGCTTTTCTAAAGTTTGTGGCGTCAATCCCTTCCATTGATACTTTTGGTTCCTAGTTCATATAACTAGAGGGTCAAAGTCCTTACTACCATCCCTTATAAAACTTATAAGAAACGGGTCTTTGCTCCTTTATAGCATTGGTTCCTTCTTAGTTTTACAAGATACTATCTGTTCATCACCATCTTCCATCACCATTTCACGCCTATAACATCACCATAGTACATCACCTTCACGCCAATTTCATTACCATTCCATTGTCATCTTCATCTTTTCACCATTAAATTATCCTTCAATCATCATCAAGGCATTCGTCTATCAACATTATTTGGAGGTTGAATTCATCAATTCTTGAAGGATTCTTCTATAATACTTCTGCAGCCATTTTTGATAACATTTCTATCCATTCCCTTTCTTATCATTTCCTTTCTTCTTCCATATTCTATTTTAATCATTTCTTTCTTTAATTTTTGCAGATTACTTCCAATTCAACGTGTAGCATTTGGTGTCTCTCCTAGATCGGGAAACAACAAGGTTGCCAACTTCTCCATTATTGAAGAAGCCTGGTTAGCCTCACATCAGAAATGATACCAGATGCCATGTGCTACTTTGAACCAAGGCATCATACTTAGTCATTACAGCTTTTTTCCATGCAGGTGACATCAACGGCCTATTAAATCGAGATTAGTTCATCTCCATCGACCATTGTTTGCACGGAGAATATTTTGGGTTTAAAAACCCTAACTTTGCTTATGGTGATCATATGATAAGTATTAGAGGTTGTTGGGCTCGATCGATCCATCGAAAATGTGCCAATAGGGGTGAATTGGCCAAATAAATTTTTTGGGGGTATCGAGAAAAGAGATAGGAAATTTGCACAACGATTTATAGTGGTTCAACTTTTCAACTAAGTCTACATCCACTACCTTAGCTCCAGACTAAGGTTTTTCTAACAAATTCACTAATTTTTTCTTTCCTTTTCTAGGCTCAAGAGTAACCTTCTACATCTCCCTAGTTTTCAATAGCTGAACTAGAATCAAACCCCTTTTACAAAAGGACAAAAAGAATGTAAACAAGAAATCTCTCAAAGGAAGGTGTTTACACAATTTAGCTCACTCAAACACTCTATTTACAATAGAAAAGGAAAAATAAGATTGAAAGAGTTTTTTTCTTATTGTGGATTGCTTGGATAGGTGTTGTAACCTTCTTCTAGTGTCCTCAACTTGTTTTTATATATTGAAATGAGTTACTAGTCGTATTTTGGCCGTTGGAAGCTGAAAAATCTACAATTCTGCAAAGGTGTTTCAAAACCTGTATTTGAAATTTTTGACCGTTAGCAAGGGGTTTCGAAACCTATAGGAGGGGTTTCGAAACATTATGGCAATTTTTGGCTACTGCCTTAGGCGTTTCGAAATCACCCAAAATTGTCTGATTTCACCGTTTAAAATCTTAAAAACTTAAATTATTTTTGCAATGTTTGAGCAAATTCAATTAAGTCTAAAAATATTTTGTCCTTATTTGTTATATCAAAATATTGGTTCTATAGAGGTCGAGGGAGTTCGACTACCAAGCAAGTCAATTGTAGCAGCAGCCTTAACTATACTATTTGACAAAACCCCTTGAGGAGTAGAACTAGAACTTTCAGTTGAATCCACATTATCACAGCTAGCAGGTAATTCATTATAACATCGTTTTATCCCACCAAGTTCGTGGGCTCCATGGAACCAGATTCTATATCACTATACGAGCTGACATCCCCCAAGAGAGGTGAAGATAATAACTCACAACCACCATTGTCATACCCTCTACCAACCCCGAGTGGCCCTAAATCAATAGTATGTATGATAATTTAACACAAAACTAGTGGATTTTGACCGGACCTAATTCGTTAGGGTCAGAATTTTAAAAAAAAAATTAGGTTCGGGTCAGTTCAATTCAAGTGAAGGATGAATAAATGCTAACTCGACCCGACCAGTAGATAATAGTGTAACTTCTTCAAATAAATTTGGATAATTATTGTAATACCCTTTTTATCTATTTTTTTAATTAAATCTTTATTCTATACCGATCAGGTTGAGTCAGGTCGGGTCAAATTTATACTCTAAAAATTCAGGTTAGATTGGAGTCAGGTTGAGGACATATATTTTTCAGGTCGAATCAGGTTGGTTTGACCAAAAATTTGACCCAACTCAACCCGTTACCATCCCTATTCAAGAGCACCACGTCGAGATAATAACTCATGCTCAACATCTATAGCTCTAACAAATCACCTAATATTAGTTTTATTAGCTAATACCTAAGCTCACTTGGAGGATAGAGGCTCTTGTAGGGAGTGATGTTTCTCACATAAAATAATATCTCATGCGGAGGATAAGGGATAGTAGAGGCATCTCGACCCTCTCGGTTAGGTGCTATTAGAGGTAGTAGAGTTAGTATATCAAAAGATAAGGTTGAAGATTCTCAACACCCTTATTGAAACAGAAAACAAGTTAACACCCTTAAATGGATTCGATTGACGTGCGGAGGCTTCGTTGTTTGAGCAATTTTAAAATATTGTATCTATTCGTAAGGTGTTTAGTTTTGTTGATTGGTTAAAAATATGTCAACACTTATGTTGCGGACTGTTACATCCTTACGTACTCACAATAAGATTTTAGGTCTAGACAAAGTTATCTCTATGCCCCCTATAGGCCCTACGAAGGATTCTAAACGCTTAAATTATATAGTGAAAAGATTGATGCTACTTTAATGCTTAGTAAAGGTGTAGATGTATTATTAATACTACGGAATATGTCTTACGAAGTTTTTTTTTTCGGTTATTTTTCTAGGAGATCTTTGATGTTTCATAAGATAGCATCCGAAGACTTTTCAAGGCTATGTTTGTAGGGTCTCAATGCTTAATGTGAAACTATCCTAACTTAATGAGAAAGTTACTAACGCTTGAAAAAAAGTATTTGTACTTAGAAAATTTTTAAGAATCTTGTCGCTTGAGTAGATGGCATCGGTCATGTTTTAATACTTAGGTATGAATGTAAGTGGAGGTTTCTCCATGTTGTATTACTTAACATAGGATCTCGACCCTATGATAGAGTGAATGCATGTCTGTCATGTTCTGGTACTAAGGCTTCTTTGAGTAAAGGTTCTCGACACTGAATGTAGAGGTATTAATCATGTACGAGAATGGTGCTACATGGGATGGTGAAATTTTTTTGTCATTTTCTCGATGCTCTGTTTAATGTCTCATGCGAAAGTTGACATCTCGTATAGAGACTTTTGGAGAACATATCAACATCTCGACGTTGTAAAGGGATAACAGAGGACATAGTCACTATCATGGGGAGTAGGCTGAATTATGGTGTATTAATTGATGATCGAGTTGTGTCATTACAACTGCATTTTCAGAACGGGTATAAAAAGATATAAAATAAAAAAAAAATTAGAAAAAAAAAAGAAAGAGAAACAAGAAAGGATAAGTGAAGAAGGGAAGGTGAGAAGATTTAACCTTAATAGAGGAAAAAGAAATACTTTTGTAAAATTTATATGGTTCTTTAAATATGTCAAAGGGTGTCCAATCAGTCCCTAATCACATCAGACTTTTGTCAACAACTAAAGGGTTTAATAGTTTAGTGACTCTTTTATTAGAAAACAATAATATTAGTGTCTGTTTTGTAACTTTTAGAACTTCTACATTGGAAAAAAAATTTACTCAAACTTTAATGGTAGTTGGTGTAGTTTACCCAATTTAAAGTAAAAACCCTAATCAAAACATTCAAACCAGTAGCAGATACATAAAGGAGAGATTGTTGGTTTCAAGTTTCTTACAATAACGTAGGCCATTGCTAGCATCAACCAGAAAATTAACCTAATTCCTTCGTTCAGTTTGCCCAGACAATCAGAGGCCCCTGAGGGCACTACCATTATTTCATTCGTTTTCCTTTTAACTGTGGTTAGTGGTTGTCATGACACAAAGGCCGGACTTGCGGCTGCTACCGCTCTCTGGGATGGTAGTAGTATGATGTTTGTTGCGACAAGGTGTTTGTGCTGAGCCGCTACTCTTCTCACTTCCTTAGGTGTTTACTAATCCTTTTATCATGTTAGCATTTTAATTTCTATGACAATATCTAATCATGAGTATTTTGCTCCGATTAAAGCTTTGAAGGTCAAAGCGATTAAAAACAAGAATATAAATCAAAATAATTATTTTATCAATCGTTAGAGGTTAATTTTGTTAATAAACTTTGGACTTTTAAAATATAATTAGTGGCCTTAATGTTAAAATAAAATTTATTAACCATAGTGATAAAAAAATGTCTGTAAATTGTTCTTCATAGAGGAAACCAAGTTCAAATAATTACATCAGTAAAATGTATATGCTATCAATTGACTAAGAAAAATTCAAAATAGATATTATATTATAATCACTTTGTACCATAAAAAATAAACTTTTATTCATCCTCAACTAATCACTTTTAAACAATTAAACCTTTAATTTATTGTATCTAAATAAACTCTTAACATAAATAATTCCGTTTGCATGCAAATAATATAACTTAAAAACAACAATATATGAACACTTAAATTGTAAACAATTATATATTTTTGTATTATAACTAAATAAAATTTCCCATCATATCTATTGAAGATAGTGCAAATTGTTACAATCAGAACGAACGGCTCACCCTTGTCTATAAACAAAGTGAAATGCTTCAGTTTTTTGTACAAGTCGACGATGCTCACTCCTAGGGTCAGTTGGAAATCCTATAATAAACTCCACTTGACCTGTCCGCCTTTCGGGTCAGCCAAACTTGTAATTAGTCACGGTATTCGAAGGTTTTCCGACAACAAAATCCGTTATTCTAGATTAGTGCCATCCCATATAGAACTCGATGAAGATTTTCAACCCTCGCTGCCAATTTTGAAAGCCGGGGATGCAGTGTCCCGAACTTCGACTGTTGACGTTGATTCTTTCTTGTCCAACCCGAAGAATGAGCAATTTTGAAATGCATCCAGACTGCTGGCTATTAAACGGTTCAAAATTCCAAGGCTATCACCTAATATCAATTCTTCACTATGATACTTCCGAGATGGTGCATCGAGTTCTAGTGGTCCTAAAGAGTCGGGCTGCAACATGGAGAGCAAGAAAGATACTCAGTCGTCTAAAGAATATACGACTTATTAAAGAAGCTCTGAGTAAGAGCCTCGGAACAAAACAAACCAGCTTTGCTACTGCAATAAATGGCTTAGAAAAGCTAACATACCCAATAAATGTCACTCAGCCCATTGAAATCCTTTTCTGTAGTATCCATGTTGTCGGGATCAGATGGGCACTTGTCCACAAGGTCTTCACAAGCAATATCTTCCACCGTCTCCTCCCGATCAGGTGACTGCATGAAAAGCGGAATAAACATTTTACCAGGCTTATCAAATTGTGTGATTGGAAGCAAATATACCTCAGTAAGTGTGTCAGATCTTGCAATCTGTTCGCAAGCTGATGGGGAAGCGGAATCAGATAATCTAGCAATGTCGGTAAAAGGATTAGGATTCTTCGAAAATAAGAAGGCGTCGCATGTTTCTTCAGCGTCCCAGATGGAAGATGCACGGGATGCCAATGATGGAACCTCCATCTTGTTTTGATGCTTAGAAATATGAGCAGCAATGGCTGCATCAAAAGAGTCGCAGCTGAATGGAATCTGCTGAAGACATAGTGAGCTTTCTGGAACAGGGTGGTCGACACAGTTATTGTCGAAGTCGTGAGGCACTTCTGCAAGAAGATCTCCGACACTTATGTTTGTCAGACTGTCAGCCCATTCTCCAGCAGATAATGCAGCGGTGCTATTGTTCAATCTCTGATCATCCTAAGCAAACAAAAGAAAGTTAAAACATGCAAGTGTAATGAATAAAATTCATTGATAAGTGTCGAACAAGTCATGTAGAATGTGCCAATAGTGAAATCCATTGAAAAGGGAAGCCTATCAAGAACTGAAAGGATAATGTGCAAGTGTCGAACAAGTCTTATGTAACAAGATTCCTATGGACCCTTTGGTGCTAATAGTAAAATTCAGAAGAGATCATCTATTGTATTAGCAGATAATGTCGGTTATTTTGAGCAGATATTTTTGTGAAGCTCAGGGTAATGAATAAAATTCATTGATAAGTCTAAACAAAGGCTAATAGATAACCATAAGTCTAAACAAAGGCTATAACAAGTTGGAGAGTTTTAAATCATAAGGAACAGCTGAAAATCTCAAATAGATTCAAATTCTTTAAGAAATGATTGACACTTACCATATCCTCCGACCGTCTCATGATAGAAACATTGCAAGCCTCACTTCTATCTGATGATGCATTTCTTGCAGGAACATGGGCATCCCTGAGATTATCTTTAGAACTAGTGTTAATGTATGCATTAATCTCATCGTGAAAATCATCCAACGAAGTTTCAAGGACTTGATTTTTTTTCTGTAACATTGACTGATTCTTGCAACAATCATCAAGTTTCCAACACTGATCACCATCAGATGAGACAGCTTGTACTTCTTCCCCAATTTGGCCATTCCTACTTTCTAGGTTCATATCATGCAAACTTGGAATGTAGGACGAGGAAAGAGGTGCTTGCCCCGACAAAGATGCAATTTCAGTATCAGCAAGCCAACCATACCTTCGAAAATAACTTATTTATCAGCACTTCTTGTAAATCACACACAGCGATGAGACGTGACAAAAAAAAAAGAGAGGAAAGTACCTTAGGCGAAATACTTGGGGACTTCCAACCATTGCAAATACATCTGCTGCACTGACAATGGTTGCTTGAGTCCATCTCTGATGACCCCTAAGGTTTTCTCTTTGAACACCATAAGGGAAAAGCATAAGCTCTCCTGATGCTATGCTTGAGTTCCCCCATTTTCTATTCAAATGCTCTAATACTGATGATATCTTCTTTTGTGTACTAAGAGTGAGCTCCAAATGTGGATTGTGTTTATCCTGACAAGAGAGAGAGCCCAATTATTTCCCTAAAAATGCCCGAGTTATACTGCTTGATGCTTTATCAAAATCATTAATAGTTTCCTTTTGGTGCTCACCATTTCCAAGGCTCTTCTAGTACTGTCATCAATTGGAAAGAGTTGGAGCTTAAGTTTCCCAGGAGCATGTATATTGTTCTCTGTGAAAGGATTTTGAGGGAAAGAAGGCAAAGGAGGCTCATTATTTTCAACTGGATCAAGAATATTATGCCCTGGACCTGGTGTAGAAAAAAATTGGACTTAGGAATTTTCCCACATTCATGGTAATTTTTAATTCATTTCAAGGAAATACTTGATAAATTGATTAAGTTCAACATCACCAGCACTATCGTTCTGTTCCTGCTCATCTTCTTTATCATTAATCGTTCTCTCCAAATGCTCAGCAGCATCAGCAACCAAAGACACTCCAGCAATTGCAGCCTTTTCCCATTTTTTATATGCAGATGATGAGGCACCTAAAAGCATTGTATAGCAAAACAAGTTTACCTAAATGTGAAAGGAAAAATGAACATTGACAGAGAATGGCCATACAATGCCTTCAAACTTTAAAATATTAATAATACAAAGCAAGAACAGCATCGAAAGAGAGTAAAATGTAGGTTACTATTAGGAAAAACACCGGTCATGACTATTGACATCAACAAAAATGTTTATTATAATACTGAACATCTATAACATCATGACAGAAATACATAAGAGTAAATGCAAACGTTGGAAACTCAATTGTGCTATTGTGATGCAAGAATCTGGAGATATAGTTTCATTTTTTTTATTTATTTACTTGGGTTGGGGGGTAAAATTACCTGGTTTCCGCCGTTGTCTTGCCGGTTTCATGGTATTTGACTCTCCTTTACTGTTGTTACGACCGACACCTACATTGTTATTACGCTTAAATGACCCTTTCCCAGGTCCTAATTTATGAATGTTTTGACTTTCTACAAGAAACAGTTTGACTGTATGAGCATCATGTCCCGAAGCCCTACTCTGATTTGATACATTGTTTGGAGATGTAGGTGAATTATTCTTCCCTTGACAAGGTCGTTTTCTTGCAGTCTTCTTCTGGTCTTTCAAGAGTTGATGCTCCTTCATAGGGACAACAGAAAAGTCAGTCCAGAACAAGCGTAAAATGTGGCGTTCAATGGAAAGGAAAGCAAAAATGTGTTACAAAAGATTTTTCTGACTAACCAAAGATTCAACAAAATTTTTAAATCTTCGTGGTTTTAGATGAAGCTTAGAAGCTCTGCAGCTATACTTTTCCAGTAGAGACCACCTGTAAAAGAAGAAGACGTTTTAAACAAAGAAAAAGAGCCTCAGTTATGTATCTTTGTCATAACATGAGACCATAAAAACTCCTTTAATCAGGTTTTTAATCCTCATGCTTAACAATGAGCCATAAATGTTTGTAGCATATTGATATGTGTCAATTGCAAGATATGGGACTTGGATCCCACATATGAAAGATGTGAGAGCTTCCTTGTGGGGTTTATATGGACCTAGGCCCTCCCACCTCAATAGCTAGATTTTGGGGTGTGATTCTCCAAAGGTCCATATCAAATATGCCCTCAAAATGGATTTTTTTTTTTTGATAAGAATTTCAGGCCTCGTTAAAAACCCCCTTCTTGATTAATGGAGCTTATAAAACTCCTTAATCAGCGGAAGGAGGAAAAGAGTGCCTTAGGATTTTATTGAACCATAAATTTACATAAGATACAACCATTATACACCCCACCAACCAAAAACTCGAAACAACCATAAAACAACGTAACTATAAATATAGGATCAGCCAACATAGTTATACACCTAATATTCAAAGGGAATCTACCACTTGTGGGTAGGCGGCTTATTGCATTGAAGTGGGTCATCCCAGTCCAACAACACTTCTCTCAATAGAAATAAAGGCCAAGTCTAAAAGAGTTTTAGAGTGAAGGCAAGGTTCCCAACATTACCAACGAAGCATTGCTGCATTAGTATCTTTAGAGTTTTTGGCATCTAAACGTAACCGCGGACCCAAAAGTTTGTTCATGCGCCGCACAAGACGATAGTAATAATGCCTGACCTACAAATTCAAAAAGAAAAAAGACACACCAAAATATTGAGAAAGGAACGTCTGACTAGTATCAATAAACAAACAGAACAAATCCAGTAGCAGATCACCTGATCTTTGTTTTTACTTTGAACACGACATGTGATCTTCTCAAAATTCTGCAAGTACCGTATGTGTCGGGAAATATTATACAGAAAAAGGTTAAAAGCCAAAACAAAAGTAACCTTGACATACCTTCCCAACTTGTCGTAATGCAGTGAAGAAACTCTCTTCCTCTTGACGTGTCCAAGCAGCCCACTGCCGAGTTGGCTTTTTAGCTGCATTAGATCAATTCATACAAAAATTAAAGGCACAATCACTACTTTCCATAGATGTTGTGTATAGACAGAAACAATGAAAACCATTACAAGGAGCACCAAAGTGCATTCACATACCACGTTGCTCTGGCACAGTACTGTTTGAAGTGGATGGAGATACATCATGATCTCCAATTTGAATAGGAACATTTTCTTGACTATGTTGTGCCTCCGAGGGTAAGGAGACCAGTGACGGTTTGCAAGTTGACGGCATCACATGAAAACTAATGCCTATAAAATCAAGAAGCTCTGTCATGATGAATTAGTTTATGATCATATATAGAAAACTGGAAAAGACAAAGAATAAAGGAACACAAATCATAATATAGTCATAAACAAGCAGGCTGGAAGCACCTCAAGAAAGTACAGTTAGGCATAAATATCCCTTTCCTCAAGAAAGTAGTGAAAATAAGAAGTTTCCCCTCTTCGACTCTTAACAAATACAAGAGATTCTTATTGAATGATAGGATCATGAATTTTATGGCTGAGTAGAACCAATCAACAACAATACTGATCAGCTTCGTATCATCTCCTATCATTCTGTAAATTTCACATCAATCAAAACATTTTCTTTTTGGTAAATAGTAAAAACAATTTTATATACTAGTGGAGCAAAGGAAAATCCGATAATCCCATTTGAATACCTAAAAAATTCTCTAAATCAGAAGCTTGTTGTCATACTTAGAAACAAGAAATTCAAGACCAAAAATGCAACTTAGTTAACCAAGAGCGCCTTGTATCATCCAATGCAACTATCATAGTCGATGTGTTAATACACGAGCAAATGATTATTCAATTTTTCCAGGTAATTAAATTCTTCTTTCAAATTTATTTATTCAATTCAATAAACATAGTATGCAGAACAATGTTTATTTACATTCAGCAACAATAAAACTAAAATAACCCATTTCAGTGCATCACACAACCGCTCTTCATATTAGAAGAAACTAAGAATATCATCCCAAGCAAAACATTCTCTCTTAAGCATTCATCATTTGTCTTGATAACATTTGAATTTCATTATACCAATAAACCCTAAAACCAACAAATTCCATCTCGGCATACATCAGCTGACAATAGAATTCAACAAAAAGGATAAAACCATACAACTTTAAAATATGCAGACTTCAAAAAGGAGGAAAAAAATAAACAGTCAGGTTGCCAAGAAATGCGAGAAAACTAAAAAAACGAAGATTGCTAGCTTAATCTATTTCAAGTGCATTAGATCCAATGGAGCACAGAAAGCTAAAGTCAACCGTACAACTAATTGATCAAATTTGATTCCAGTTTTCCGCATCAAAAATAAACTAAATAGGAGAAAGAAAAACATACGAACATACAATAATTTAAATTCCTCGACAGCGAAACAAAAGCTAGGGTTTCAAACTACAGTAAAATTGACCGGTAAAAACTTAATAATATACAGGGGGGGGGGGAAACAAAGAAAACAAGAAAATGAAGAAGAAAGTAAAGTTAATTTGAAGATACCTGAAATAGTAAAAAGATATATGGAGAAATGGAAGGAAAGCTCAGATTTTGAACAAAGAAGAAAAGCTATTAACACCGGAAGAATCGCCCGGCAGACGTCTACGGTGGAAACGATTTTTTCTTTATTTTTTTAAAGTCTTCGTTTTTGAATTTTTTTACTTTGAAGAAAAAGAAGTTTATTTGGTAGTAATTTGAAAGAAGAGTAACAAATAAAATTAAGTAAATAATTTGATTTCCTTTTTGAAGAAATAAATAATTTTATAAGTGTCGGCACATATATATGTGTGTGGAATATTTCTCTGTACTTTTCTATGAGTTTTTATTTAATATTTTAAACACGAAAATGCAAGTACACGCGGTTGGAAAAATGACCAAATAATTATATATTTATATAAATTAATATATGGGTTTATAATAAAAATAATGAATATATTGTATAAAATGGACAAGTTAATCAATCAACAATGTAGCAGAGATAGGCACATGACGTGGCAACATATTAAAGCAAATTTAAGATCAGGTGTAAATTTGCACTGTTTGTTGAAATTGGTAGAGGGATATTAAGCACGTGGCAAAACAAAAATGGACCGACTTTATTAGAGCCCAAATGACATTTTATGCCTTTAAACTTTTTTTAATTAATTCATCATGTCATTGGTGGAAAAATAATAGAAAGTTATTAAATGGAGGTTTTTTTATTAATTTAAACCTATTTTAAGTGGTAGTATATGTGTTGAACCATGTTTTATAATATTTTGATATAATAAATTAAGGCAAAATGTTTTTTGGACTTGATTGAATTTGTTCAAAGTTTTCAAAAATAATTCAAAATTTATTAAACTAGAATTTGAGCACTAAATTGTTTTTCTGGGTATGCAGTACCGAAATTGTTTTTACAGTATTGATACTGCATGAACAGTGTTGATATTGTTCACGTGGTACTGATACCGTTCACGTGGTACTGATACCAAAGGTAAGAGAAGTATTGATACTCTCTAGGTAGTATCGATACTACCAGTTGTTTTCCAAATTGCTCAAATTTCATAATGCAAAATAGGTATCGATACTCAAAGGGGTACCGATACTACTTTACATAGTGATATCGATACCATGAAGCACAATATCGATATTGTTCAAGCCCAACGGTCTTTAACGGCTAGTTTATTTAAATATTACAAAGTTTGTATTGATACTCATTAAAGGAGTATCGATACTCACAGTCATGGGCAGTTTTATTTTGCAGAAAATTAATTTCCAACTGCTCCAAAACATCCCCAACGGCTAAAAACGGCTACAAACTCATTCCAACATATAAAAATAAGTTGAGGACACTTGAAGAAGAAAGAACACATATACAAACAATCAAACACAATAGAAGAGTTTTTCATTCTTGTTTTCCTTTCTCTTGTAAATTGTAGTGTTTTAGTGAGCTTATTTTTTGTAAACACCTTCCTTTAAGAGGTTTTCTTGTTTACATCTTTTATACCTTTATAAAAAGGGATAGTTCTAGCTTAGCCTTTGAAAAGATAGGGAGTTGTAAAGGTTATCTCTTTATCCTGGAAAAAGAAAGAACAAATTAGTGAATTTGTTAGAAAATCCTTAGTGAGGAGTTAAGGTACTGGATGTAGACTTGGTTGAGAAGTCGAACCACTATAAATCCTTGTGCAATGTGTCTATCTCTTTTTACTCCTTACTCCCTAAACTCAAAAATCCAATTCACCATCTCTTGGCAAAATATTCGGTTGTTCAATTTGAGCTTAATCGAAATCCCAACAATTGGTATCAGAACTTGACTCATTAGAAGGTCTAACAACCTTGAAACGATCCTTGAAGAAACTCAACCAATTTTCGACACAACCGAAAGATGATTTCGACCTCTGGCTCTTACTACATTGAAGACTCTCAACCGGTCAACAAGTCACCTTATTTCAATTGAGCAAATTATGCATATTGGAAGAATAGGATAATGTTCTTCATTCAAGCCAACGATCTAGGAGCTTGGAACTCAATTATTAAATGATACTCCATTACAACCGATGAGATGAATGATTGTAGTGGTGGAGAGAAGAAGAAGTTTCAACTCAATGCAAAGGCTATGCACGTTCTATTTTGTGCATTAGGCCCGGATTAATATGGAAGAGTCTTCTCTTGTTCTAATGCCAATGAGATTTGGGATAAGCTCCAAGTCACTCATGAAGGAACCAATGAAGTGAGGGAAACCAAAATTAATCTTGTCAATCATAACTATAAGAATTTCAAGATGAATCCGAATGAAGATATTAAAGCTATGACGGATATATATTTTTCATGGTTGTCAAATGTCTCAAGGGATTTAGAGAAGTTATCCCTAATGAGAAGCTTGTGAGGAAGATGATTTATTCTCTTCAAAAGTCTTGGCAATCAAAGAAGACGGCGATCATCGAAGCTAAGAACCTAAAGACTCTCACTCTTGATGAGCTTATTGGTTCTCTTCTCACTCATGAGTTGATGGTAAAGGAAGAAGAAGATGAAAAGAAGAAAAACAAGAAGAAGAATGAGGTAGGCATTGCCTTCAAATCCACCAATGAGAGTAATCAAGACTCAAGTGAAGATGATGATAAAGAAGAAGAGATAGTCAAGCTCTTCAAAATATTCAAGTGATTCATGACTTCTAAGGAAGTGAAGCATGAATCAAGGAAAAAGAAGGGTCCCCCGATGTACTTCGAATGTCAAAGAACATGACATATCAAGTATGACTGTCCCCTCCTAAAGAAGAAGAGATCAAGTAAGAAGAAGGCATTTGTGGCGGCTTGGAGTGATGAAGATAACTTCAATGATAAAGATGAAGTAGCAAATCTATGCCTCATGTCCATCAAAGAAGATTCAATGGTAACTTCTAGCTCTAGTGAATCAAATTCTTATTCTTTTAATGAGCTACAAGTTGCCTATGATGAATTGTATTTGGAATTTTGAGACCATGAATTCCAAATATAAGAAATTAATTTCAAATTTTAAAGTTGAAAATGATTTGATTTTGAAAGCAAAAGTTGATTTAGAAAAACAAAATGAAATTTTGAAAAATGATTTTGAGCTTTCAAAAATCAAAATCAATTATTTGGGAAAAGAAAATCTTGATTTTAAAGTTAAGCTTGAAAGCTTAACATAGGAAAAAGAATTAATTTCTCAAACTAGTTCATCATATTTAAAAATGGCAAAATGCTCACATTGTCATTTCCATGGTCATTTGGAACATACTTGGCCTATAAAGAAAGGAAAACATTTTAAAATTAGACAATTATGTGTTCCTAAGGGAACAAGGGGCATTGAAACTAATATTCAAGGATCCAAAGCAATTTGGATACCAAAATCTAAATAAATGTCTTTTATAGGTGTGGGGGAGCAATGGTGATGAAAGTGAATATATTCAAAATGGATAACATCTAAGCTTATTTTAATTATCTTGCTTAATTGGTTGATCATTTAGTTTAAGCATGCATGAGTTTTGATTTTAAATAATTTTATGTTTTTCATCTCATGAATGTTGAAAAGTGTATTATGATGGACATTTTAAAGTTTTAATGATTTTTCATAATTTTTAGTTCATCATAATGAATTTTGGTCAAAATTTGTTTTAAATGTTTTGTTTTTACAAATTTTAAATTTTGACCTTAATTTAAATGTTTATGCATGTGATTTATTGCAAATGATATCTCTCTAACAATTGATATCAATTTTTCAAATGCATAACATTTTTGGATAGCTTTATGCACATGCACTTAAATACTATAATTTGTATTGCATAAAGTTTATTAGACTTTGATATATTGAATTTCTTGTGCTACTAATTTGTTTGTTCATCTTTGTTGAAATTCAATGTCTTTTAAGTGTCAAGCTTTTAAAGTCAAATTCCTGTTTAGAATGCTCTTATTGAGGGGGAGCTTTGATTTTTTAAATGATTTTAATGTTAAAATTATTACTTACTCTCCATTGTTGTTTTGTACCTTAAAAGTTTGAGTTATTTTTTATATAACAAAATAGGGAAGAAATATGAGTTTGAGAAATTCAATTTCAACAATGAAAAATGAGGAGATTTAATATTTTCCAAATATTTCTCTTTTTCATGAAATATTTTATTAAGAGGGAGTTTTGTCAAAAACAATTTTTCAAAACCATGTTTTATAATATTTTGATATAACAAATTAAGGCAAAATATTTTTTTGGACTTGATTGAATTTGTTCAAAGTTTTCAAAAACAATTCTAAATCCATTAAACTAGAATTTGAGCACTAAACTATTTTTCTAGGTACGTAATATCGATACTATTCTTACAGTATCGATACTGAATGAACATTACTGATATTGTTCACGTGGTACCGATTCTAAATGTAAGAGAAGTATTGATATTTTTTAGGTAGTATCGATACTACCAGTTGTTTTCCAAATTGCTCAAATTCCATAATGCAAAATAGGTACTGATACTCAAAGGGGCACTGATACTACTTTACACAGTGGTATCGATATCATGAAGCATAATATCGATATTGGTCAAGTCCAACGATCTTTAACGACTAGTTTATTTAAATATTACAAAGGTAATATCGATACTCATTAAAGGAGTATTAATACTCCGTTTCCTGGGCAGTTTTATTTTGCTGAAAGTTAATCCCCAACTGCCCCAAAACATCCCCAACGGCTAGAAACGACCACAAACTCATTCCAACATATAAAAACAAGTTGAGGACACTTGAAGAAGGGAGAACACCTATCCAAGCAATCAAACACAGGAGAAGAGTTTTCATTTGTATTTTCTTTTCTCTTGTAAATATTAATGTTTTAGTGAGCTTAATTTTTTTTAAACACCTTCTTTAAGAGGTTTTATTGTTTACATCTTTTATACATTTGGAAAAGAGGATTGGTTTTAGCTTAGCCTTTGAAAAGCTAGGGAGTTGTAAATGTTATCTCTTTATCCTGGAAACAGAAAGAACAAATTAGTAAATTTGTTAGAAAATCCTTAGTGAGGAGCTAAGGTAGTGGATGTAGACTGATTGAGAAGTCGAACCACTACAAATCCTTGTGCAATTTGTCTATCTCTTTTTACTCCTTACTCCCTAAACTCAAAAAGCCAATTACCCCCTCTTAGCAAAATATTTGGTTGTTCAATTTGAGCTTCATCAAAATCCCAAAAATATGTTTTAAAAAAATTTAACATTTGACAA